GAACAAGGGTACTAGGTCTCACTTATCTGGAAGCTATAGAATATGTGCCACAGGCCTGGCAAAGATTAACTTGAGAGGATCTTCTTGGGGGAAACTGGATCTCAAACCTGGCAGTCGGTACAATTCATGGCCAATTTCCAATTAATGGTAAACAGTTCTAAGCTAGTCAGAAATCTTCCTTCTCCATGGGAGCTCTGCGTATGAGGCAGCAGAAGAGAATCCAGATGAGGGAAGAGCTGAGTTGGGGTAGGAGGCAGAACCTGGAGCAATTCCCTAAGCAGAAGAGGTAGCTTCTTGAAGCTACCAGCATGCTAAAAAGGCACCCTTGAAAGTACAAGAAACTATAATTTCCAGAGTCTACTGCTCTGTGTTCACTTTCCCTGCTGCCTGATAATACTCGAGCTGCCTCCAGGCAACTTCCTCAAGGCTTGGTCTGTTCCTGTCTGAAGGTGACCCTGAGTCTAAGAGAGAGGCGGCAGTTAAAGGCTCCGCTACCTGAGAAAGCTCTAAGTGAGAGTGAGCTTTGTGAAGAGCTGCCTAAAGCATTTGGGAAAGGAGAAAAAAAAAAAAAAAAAAAAAGCTGAATTATTTGTATTTCCCAGGGATCTTCAGGGCCTCTGCTGTGCTAGTGTTCAGGGTGTCCTGGACATCTCAGTGGACCCTGGACACATCCCTGCTCTTCCTTAGCTTCTGGTTTAGGGAAGTCATTCCTGTGTCAGGACAGGAAATCATCTGTACTTACACTGCCCACTTGGCTAGATTTCTTCCCTTAAAACAAACACTTCCCAGTCTCAGTGTGGAGAATCCTCTAACTGAAACAGTCCTCTCAGGGAGAAAAGTAAACAACTCTTGCAGTTCTTCTTTATTTGTGATTCATAAATCTGTTCCAATTCATCTTTAGTTTTTCCTTCACCCATGCAGCAAGCATTTACTGGGTGTCACTGTTTGCCAAGCACAGTATTAGGCACTGGATACAAAGCTAATGGAGCTCTGGCCCTTTAGGTACTTAATGCCTCACTGGACATTCCCCAAGCAGCAGGATATCACAGCAGGGTAGAAAGTGCTCAGAAGCTATCCCAGCCCAGAAGAGGGATCTCTAAACAGAGTGTGTGTGGTATGGAATGGACTGTGTCCTCCTGAATTTCCCATGTTGAAGCTCTAACCCCCAGTGTGACTGTATTTGGACATAGGGCTTTTAGGAGGAAACTAAGGTTAAATGAAATCATAAGGGTGGGGTCCTAATCCAATTGGATTGGTGGCCATATGAGAAGAGGATGAAAAAGAGATCCCTCTCTCTCTCCACATGCACACAGTGGGATGGTATCTGTCTGCAAGCCAGGAAAAGAGGTCTCACCAGAGCCTGACCATGCTGGCATCCTGATCTTCCAGCTTCCAGGACCGTGAGAAAGTAAATTTCTGTTGATGGTATTTCGTTGTGGCAGTCTGAGCTAAGATAATATGTGTGTGTGTTTGAAGGGCAGCGGGGCGGTGGGGTGGGGAGATAGGAACTTCCCAGAATTGTTCGCACCTCACCTGCCCCCAAAGCACTGTCCGGCTTTGTCATCAGGCCTTGAAGATAAATGTGTAGGGCTGACTTCTTGTAGTTCATAAAATTTCTTAGCCAAGTCTGGGATGACTTCCTCAGGACTCAGCAAAGTCAGCCTAGATATGTACAGTCCTGTCTCCCAACTCAGTCCCAACAGGGCCCAATTCAAATCCCACCACTTCTGGCACTATCTGTAATAGAACTGATATCTCTCTCCTTGGGAATTATTTGAAACTTGATCATGACATTTTCATATGTTCTTGTTATCTTACGCACAGTTAGATTGACTGTCACATAAGTGCAAAGATCATGTCACTTATTTCTTTGCCTCTATTCCTAGGAAGGTAGAGTAGGGCTTGCGCATAGAGCCTGGTCCATGTTGTTGCTGTCACCAGACAGACTTGGCTGGATCTAGGCTCTGTTGTTTACTACGTGACTCTGGGAAAATTATTTAACCTCTTTGAGCTTTGGTTTCCTCATCTGTACTACGGTGATAATATTAGGGCTTATAAGATGGATTCGCTGGCACAGTGAGTGAAGCATTGTGTATAGAGTGCTTAGCACAGGGTCTGGCCTTTAGCACATGCTTGATGTAGGTCTTGTTGAAAGCTGTTTGATATTTGTCTTTACCAGACCCCGTCTCTCACTTCCATGTTTCCTCCTGCAAGACCATTTACTGAGTGACTCACCTATTTGCTGGAAAAATGAAGATAACCTGATGGGCTTTAAACTCTGTTTCTTGATATCAAGGAGATAAAAGGTAGAGGAGGGAGAGTAGAGAAGGAAAAGTGAGAAAAGAAAGAAAGGACTGGAAGAAGCAGAGAAATCGCCTTTATTCTACCAGTGTCTTACCTGTGCCGGCCTCCTGCCATTCCTGACCTTAGACACATTTGGGCCTGAGGAGGTGGGAGGGGGGAACCACAGCCAGCCAGGGATCCAAGGCTGCAGCCTGGAGCACAGGGTCCTCTTTAATGAAAGGGCTGTACACTGCACAGTGTCTGCCAACTGCAGTGAGCTGAGGGCTATACAAGGGGGCCAGCACCCAGGGAAGGGATGCAGAGCCTGTGGAGCCAAGGGAGAGGAGGGGACCGTGTGACCAAGGGCTTTGTGAGGGCACTGGGTTGCCCGGGTAGGTGAGCTTGTGGAGAGCACTGAGCATCCTTGCACCTTGGAGGAGACCCATCCCCACACGGCAAAGACAGGAGACCGAGAGAAGGAGATTGCACCTCACCCATGTTGGTAAGGTTCCTCTACTTGGCCCAGTCTTCTGACACCCCTCCCAGAAGCACAGACCCCACCTGAGCTCAGGGTGGCTTGTTCCCTGGCTTGTGCAGAAAGATTTAGAAACAGGTTGTAGTTTGAAAATGTTCCCATGAGCTTCAAAAAGAGATGAAAGGGTGAGAGACAGGAGGTCAGTAGGGGTTCAGAGTTAGAAACCGTCAGTCAACTCTCTGGAGAGTCCTTAGGGAAGTCATACTTATCCATGCAAAGTAAGGGGAGAAGGAAGATAGAAAGTTGTTCTACCGCAGATGAGGGGTTAACCATCTCCGCGTTCGTAAGTCTTCACAGCACTTCCCCCTAAGGTTTCTGCAATCCTGAATTATTTTTCAAAAGTCTCATATCAAAGTACAGCTTTATTATTTTCAAGGAAAACTCACAATAATAGAATTTGAATTTATTTAGCCCTATGGTCATGTGTCATTTCTTTTGTAAATATTACTCAGTGTAGTGTGTTCTAACTTCACATAGAAAGCAAAACTGAGGAACCAAGATGGGTTACATAGCAAACCAGTGTAATCAGGTCTACAATCCAGAGAGCACTGTGGGGGGAGGAGAGGATATGGCTTTAGTTGTCCCTATTCCATGTCCGAGGCAGGGCCTCAGGAGGAGGTGTGGGTGGGGAGAGGAGAGGATATGGTTTCAGTTGTCCCTATTCCATGTCTGAGGCAGGGCCTCAGGAGGAGGTGTGGTTCTAGACGGCTCGGAGGAACAGAACCAGACTAATAAGTGGAAATGCCAGGGAGGAGGTTCCAGCTCACTGCACGAGAGAACTGTGAGTTGGTGCGTGCCCCCAGCACCGGAAGTATTCAGGCTGAGGCTGGGTGGCCATCACCAGAGAGGAGGAAGCGGGTGTGAGCTTTGCTGTTCTGCTCTCCTGTTCGGCACCGCCCAGCGGTCCAGGGTGCCGATGAGAGTAGGTAGCAGGTGTGTGGCTGTCTTCCTGATAGAAATCTTCAAAGACTGAGACTGCTTCTCCATCAGCCCAGGCTCCTTTCCTTATTTACTCTTTTGGTAAATTGATCTTTTGTCAACTCTCTAAACCATTCTGAGCCCACTGAAACCTTTTAGACTTGACCACGACTTGGGTTAAACTTCCCAATGTGTGAAGTAGCACTTTATTCTTATTTTGGTTTTAAATAGACCTCTTTCAGGTTTCAAGGAGGTGCTTCTCAAACTTCTGGGAGTTTGAGAATGATTCTAATCCTCTTCATGATTCTACAGCCTCTTCTGGGTTTTGCCTTCCAGACTATGATCCTCATATATTGTCTTTTCCATACTTAAACCTATGAGTCACCTTGAGAGTTTTACTGTGCTTCGCTAGATCTTTTCCAGCTTTTTAAAAATACCTTCGTGAAGTAGGATATCCTGAACCACATGCAGCTTTTCCAGCTTACATTTCTGCAGTTTTATGCATATTTACTCTGTGGGAGGCAGTGTGGTGTATATGAAAATGCGTGATTTTAGGGCATAGAAAATCCTGGATCTTCCGTGGATGTTATGGGCTGTGTGACTTTGGGGAGTTATTTAACCAGCCACTTTGAGCATCAGTTTCCGCATTTGCAAGATGGAGATAGCAGTAGGCACCTCAGATGTTCATGAGGATAAACAACTTGGCTTTTTTTTTTTAATATTTATTTATTTGGCTGCACTGGGTCTTAGTTGAGGCACGCGGGATCTTCGTTGCCGCATGCAGGATCTTTAGTTGCAGCATGCGGGATCTAGTTCCCTGACCAGGGATGGAACCCAGGCCCCCTGCACTGCGAGTGTGGAGTCCTAACCACTGGACCACCAGGGAAGTCCTGCAACTTAGCATTTTAAAGCCTAGTACCCTGCCTTGCGTTCAGTAAGCCCTGAATAATTTAGAGGAGAAGGAGAAGAAAGTTCCCATTCTTGATTATAATATCTTTTTAATGAGGGACCTATTTAATGAAACAGGCAATAATTATTTCAGAGCAGTATATTTGAACCTCCCTGTCATATTCCAATTTCACTTATCTGGGTCATATTCATTTAAACTGATCTCTTCTTCCATTCCAGTCAAATAGATAAGAATGTTGTATTCATGCATTATTAAACATAACTTAAACTTACAGCCTTGCATCTTTATAAACATAAGTGAGTAATATGTGAGAGAGATAGAGAATGAACCCCCTATCTTCTGGTTAATGTTTAGACAGTCTTGGCACCTCCCAGAAGCAAGAGCTACAGCGAGAGAAGTGGGAGAGGAGCAAGCTGCCAGGCAGAAGCCTCTCTCGGCGTTCCATCAGCAAGGAGAGGTGGGTGGAGACACTGGTGGTGGCCGACACGAAGATGATTGAGTACCATGGGAGCGAGAATGTGGAGTCCTATATCCTCACCATCATGAACATGGTACGTCAGACCACGTGGGGACAGGGGCAGCTGGTAAATAGATACCACTAGAGATGCTCCATCCCCCAAATAAGAGACCTTCTTTTGATCCCTTTTTTTTTTTTTTTTTTTTTTTGCGGTACGCGGGCCTCGCACTGTTGTGGCCTCTCCTGTTGCGGAGCACAGGCTCTGGATGCGCAGGCTCAGAGGCCATGGTTCACAGGCCCAGCCGCTCCGCGGCATGCGGGATCTTCCCGGACCGGGGCACGAACCTGTGTCCCCTGCATTGGCAGGCGGACTCTCAACCACTGCGCCACCAGGGAAGCCCCCTTTATTTTTTTATTTTTATTTATTTATTTTTTGGCTGCACAGCTTTTAGGATCTTAGTGCCCCGACCAGGGATTGAACCGGGCCCTTGGCCCTGAAAGCGCAGAGTCCTAACCACTGGACTACCAGGGAATTCCCTGGTCCTTTTAATATATATATATGTATATATTTGTTTTTATATTTATAAATATATTCCATGCCTAGATAATTAAGGACAAATTATTCTTTCTCTTAAAAACAAGTATCCTAGGAAAACTTATGTATCATGTACATTTTCTACTAGTTACTTATCAAGTGACTCATTTTAGTATGATTTTTTCCTCACTGATTTATATAAGTTCACAAATGAGGAAACTGAGACAAAGAACTAGAACATGATTTCTTCAAGGTAGTTGGAGCTAGAATTGGAATAAAGTTAAGGACCCCTAATTTGAAGCTTCCGTTTTGCCTTGTAATGCTTCCTGCTTTCCCACGTGGCCGTATCTCACTCATCTTTGCACTCCACCAAAAATTCCTGATCTATAAGATAAGGAATTATTTCAAGTACATTACAGTTCTGTTTCTTCCCCTCCTCCAGCATTTATCTGTTCTCTGTTCATGTGAGGCTAACTGTTTTCCATTTCTGACTCTAGGTCACCGGGTTGTTCCATAACCCAAGCATTGGCAATGCAATTCACATCGTTGTGGTTCGGCTCATTCTACTTGAAGAAGAAGAGGTAAGGAATAGTTTCCCCACCGGTCTTGTGACCTGGCTCTTCACACTCCCTACCTGCTTCCTTCAGAAGAGCTGTGGATGGACAAGAAAGAGGGTACCAGAAAGATGTTTGGAAGCCCATCCGTGTTATTTTCTTGGGAATTCAGGGATGTCAAGTGGGAGATAGAGAACGTTTCCAAGATATACAGACTTGAAATCACCTGACGGTCTTTGTATCTAGTAACTCACAAATCAGATTGACAGCAGTGACTAAGAATGTTCCACAGTGGAAACAGACTAAATCATGTTATGGTTGGGTGATTCAAATAAAAGTTAGGAGAGACATGGAAATACTGAACATTTTACACCGTTTATTTACCTCTTGCATATTAATACATGTCTCTCGGATCTGGGCCCGCTTGTCTCTCCGCAATTTTACTTGGGGATTCTGTCTCTTCTCAGAGACTTAGAGATCATGTGTATGCTGAGACTCAACTGATACCTCAAGCCCAGACCTCCTACTTGAGCTCCAGACTTACATCCAGTTGCTTATTTGACATCTCAACCTGGATGTGTTCTAATCCACTTGAACTTGGAAACTTAGTCCAAAGTGGAATTCTCGATTACTCCCTGCCCGAATCATCTGCCTTCCACCCTTCCCCTACCCTCCATCTTACCCATCTCAGTAAACGGTGCTATTGTGCACTGTTACATAAGCCTGGGAGTCACTCTTGCTTCCCTCCTTTCTTATCTTCCACGTTCCACAGCAAGGCCCACCGTGCTCCTACCTTCAAAGTGCATCTCAAAATCACCCACTGTTCATCATGTCCACAGTCATTGTGTTGGTTTATGGCTTTTATCATATCCTGCCTAGACTACCACAGTGAGATCCCAAATGCTCTTCCTATCTTAAGCCTTCCCTGACACCCCCAGCACCCTAATCCAATCTCTGCGTAGCAGTTAGAATGGCAATTTTAAATACAAATTGAGTTGCTCCACTGAGCAAAACTATTTAATGGATTTATGTTGTTTTTAGAACAAATTCAGCATTTCTTACTGCGTCCTGCAGAGACATTCACGGTCTAGCCTCCGTCCGCCTTTCCATTTTCTCCTTGTGTCGCTCTCTGCCTCGCTTACCCCACATCCCCCCAATCTGCCCCCCCCCCCCCCCGCACTGGACTTCAGATAGGCTCCAGAACACGCAAGGCCCCCGTCAGCCTCATGGCCTATGCACTTGAGGTTCCCAGTGCCTGCATCACCCCTGCCCTGGCTCTGCTCATGGCTGGCACCTTCTCACCTCTCAGGCCTCTGTTGAAATGCTGCCTCTTCAGAGAGGTCTCAATGACCAGCCTACCCAAAGCTGGTCCCACTTAACTGTTCTCCATCACAGAAAGTGATTTACTTCCTTTATTGATACCACTCTTGCAATTCATTAACAGTCTGTGTATTTGTTTTCTCTTTTCTTGTTTATCTCAGCCACCATCAGAATGTGAATTCCATGAGAGCGGTAACTATGTCCCTTTATCCTTGGCTTTGTCTCCAGCACTGAACAAAGTGCCTGGCCATGAATGAATGAATAAATAAATGAGTGAAGTAAAATTTAGTGAATGACTGAACCAGCCAACCTGATGAAATGACTTTGCAATCTATAGCACTTAGCCAGCAGCTGAGATATGTGAAGAAGGGCACCGTTCAGATCTTCATCAGCAAGAGATCTGAGGTCAAAATGCTCAGGGCAGGGTTGATTGCTTTCGGAGTAGAAGCCTCCAGGCAGAAGATTTTAAAACAACGATCTCTGGAGCCTGATCCTTTTTCCTTCTTCTCCCCTCTACCATCGCTATTTCCCTTAGTCACTCAAGATATACTTTGGGTATCTTGGAATACCGATGGATATATTATTTCCCTTCCTGTAAACCTTTTGTTAAGAAAATTTACCCAAAACTTAGAAACCAGGCAAAACAAAAACTATGTGTCCTTTCAGTGTCTAACATGACCTATCTCACTCTATGGGAATGTAACTTTGTTTGATTATTATTCATGATTGATTAGGGTCTAGACATGGTAAAGTTAGGTGTTAACATGCAGGAAACTGGTAGAGTACAAATGGGTTTTGGACAGTAGAGATGGAAATGATTTGTGTCCAGCAAGAAGATAACTCCAAAGACTATGGCTTTATTGGTCTGTGGAACGTTATGTAATTTTGTATCTAATGTAGCAGTCTTAGGCCAGCATTCTTTTTTTTTTTTTTAACTGACTATAGTTGCATCAGTTTCATGTATCTGCCTTCGAACCAGCTTTGCCATCTTGCCTGTCTCCTTATTAGTGAGTTAAATATATCTTGAACATGCGCTCACTATATATCTGTCTGAGAATTATGTTTTTAACTTTTTGAAAATTATACCTGGATACCTTGGAGGACAAATTTTCACTACTGTATAATGGCCTAGCATATATGCATGCTTAGCTACACGGGGAAAAAAGGAAGGTTCTTCTGGGTGTGGGAAGGAAAAACCTTTACCCTCTGCTGTTTCCACAGCAGCACTAGTGGGAGCTCAACATGTGGCTTCTGTGGATTTGGGGCCCCTTTTAACTCTGTAGCTCTTCATTCCAGGAAACAATGCCGCCAAACTCTCGCTTCCAGTGGAATCCTTTGAAAGAATTGGATTGGCCATTACCTCTCTGACCCCATCACAGTTACATTGTTTTTCCTCTTCCCTTCCTCATTTCGCAAGTGCAATGAGACACAAATGATTTGCTGCAAAAATCCACGGCTTCCTTTCTCCCACTTGCCAAATATCTTCCTCATTCAAGCTTTTATAGAATCTCCAAGGGGTACAAGGTTCATAATTTGACAACAGAATGGCCAGCTCATTGGAGAGTTGCAATTCACAATTCTCATTTTCTTGATTCCCAGATCATGGCTCTAACTATTCTTCACATCTTGGACTAATGAGCAACCCCATCAACAGCAAACAGCAATGATTCCAGCCCTTAACTTATATCAGGGTAGTGGCCACAGGCAGAAAGTACAATGTGAGGTACTGGAAGGTGACTGCTCTTGAGCAAGGAGACCTGAGTTCGAGTCCTGACTCTGTCATCATCCCGTAGGTAACTCTGAGAAGGTCACATCGTTGCTCCATCCCTCCTTTTTTCTTCATCTGTAAATGAGAAGCACGTTGTTGTACGTCAACTCTATGTCTCACGCTGTGCTAGCTGGTGAGGGTACAACTGTGAATCAACGTCGTATTTCTGATTCTGAGGAGCTTAGAATCTCCTGCACAAAGGCACAGAATAGAAAATTTCAAATTGAGCTTGTCATGAATACAAAGAAAAGAAAAAGAGTACCTGGGATAAGGAAGGATACTTGGATGTCTATGCTGGGTTTTAGAGGACGAGAAGAAATTAACCTGTGAGGAAGGACATCCCAGGAAGGGGAACCTAGAAGTAGGGACAATAGCCTTAGTGCTTAAACTAAGCACTAAGCATGCATATATGCTAGACCATTTATCTGTGAGAGGCTGTGAACACACCACTGATCATGAACCACAAAATGGGAGGCTCAGAAACCTTGTTGTGAAAAAAGGAGGCAATGAGATTTTGTCGCAGGCAGGAGAGAAAACAGCCGATCGAAACCTGCCCACCTCCGTTCACACCTGGTCTTGTTCCAGTGTTACCTGTCTCTGTGCGTGACATCATCATCCTTCCTGTTGTAGGAGCCAAAGACCCAGAAGGCATCCATGACACCTCCTTCTGCCCCCTCCACCCCGTAGCCAGCCCATCATCATGTACTGACAGTTTTCTCTGACCGTCTCATTTACATCACTTTAATTCAGGATACAGTTATCTCTTTCCTGGGCTATAGTTGTATGTACTTTCTGGTCTGCTTGGATTCCTTTTGATCTTGTTTTCTCATTGCAGCCAGGATGATCTCAAAATGGTAATCTGATTATCTCTACCCTCCTGACACCCCTTTCCAAAGCCCATCCCTGGTTTAAACAATCCAGTGTTTTCCTGATTCCCTCTCTAATCACTTACTATGCCCTCCTTGCTCTTGAGATAGAGTGATAGTCTTCTACTTATCATGCTTTCTCCTGCTGCTGGTCTTGTTGTTGCCTGGACTGTCTTCCTTTTTGACTTTACTTAGTTAACACCTTCATCCTTCAGATCTCAGCTCAAGTGCCTCTTGGCTGGGGAAGCCTTCCCTGATGTCCATGCCCAGTAATATTTTATTATATACTCCCACAATACTGCATTTCTCCTTCATAGCACATATCCGAGTTGTAACTTTACATCTATTTGCCTGACACACTTTCCTCCGTTAGTATGTAAGACTGAGTCTGGCAAAGGTTGGGTCTGGTGTTGCTTGCCACTTAGCCCTACTGGTATATAACAGATAAGAGAAAGAGTGAATGAGTGAGGCCAGCAGTCAGTGGGTGAAGATAAGTGGCCAAGTCATGACAAGCCTGTGGCCCCATAAAGGGGTTTGGATCTAATCCTGTGGGAGTCTCTGGCTGATTCCAAACTGAGAGATGAAATGGAGAGAAAGGCATTAGAGAGATGGCTCTGAGGCTCTGTGGGAAGTGACATGAGGTGGGGAACACTGAGGTAGGTCTCTTCCATCAGTGACTTTCTATGGCTCTCATCTTTCTTATTCAAAGTCATACCTGACAGCTAACACCATTTTGGACTTCATTTTCTGTGGTGGGTTCCAGAGACTTGGTGGTTAACCTACATACATAAAATACAGTTTCTCTATGTCAGTTACTGCCATGTAAAAAACCACTGGGGAATTTCACCACATTTTGAGAATAAATTAGTCGGATGCAATACTAATTTGGGAGCATCCTGGAGACGTCTCAGAGAATAGAGGGTCACATTTTGGACCAGTGGAAACTCAGGTACACAAAACCATGAGCTGGAAAGATTTGTCTAGCATATTAAGACATCATGGTGAGATGAGATTGGCCATGTGTTGATAAATTTTGAAGCTAACTGATGGATTCATGGGGATTTATTATACTA